CTATTAACATAATGTAATGGTTAAACCAACTATTTTTTCCTCTCACAGACATAACCTTCCTCCCCCTATTCATCTCGCCTATCTTCATCGCTTGAGTCGACGCCTACCATCACCAGCGGAGCTGTTCATCCTCCTCGTCTTCGTCTTCATTGGCATTTCGATCCCTCTTCGTATTCCTTCCGCTCCCGCAAACCCTAGATCTCTTCACTTCCCCTTTATCTCGTCGCTGAGTGCCTATTATCTAGCATCACATCAATGGCCGAAATCAATGCCACCTCAAATTTTAATACATACCAAACTGTTTTAAGATTAAAAAAATAAATAACATTCAACACTTAGAATTTAACACTCAATTTTTAGTACTTAATTTTCTGGAAAGGATGTAACATTTTTTGTGAGTGAAAAGTTTATTTGTAACGTACAACTGAAGATGAAAATGTCTAACAGTTCTTGCCTTACTTACTGTTGTGAAATAAATTATGTATAAACATAGAGACAAAAAAGAAACAGTGTTATTAACCCCCGTGTTTTCAATAAATTAAAGCAAGTTGAGTTTCTGTTATTGTTTGCTGTTCCAGTTGTTGTTGAGTTGAAACTGTTGCTATAGTGAGAAATCCACAAATTTGCGATAGGGACAAATCAAACTGTCTCATTCGATTTCCTAGGGATTGCAAGTTTGATTTGCAAAAACAGTGTTCATCTTCATAAATGTAAAAGAATGAGATTAATTAATAACTTCAAGTGTCTTTGTGTGTGTGTGTTCATACGTAGGGTGTCAATTGTGTCAGGTTAATTTTGAAATTGTATCAAAAATCCTAAAACCCGAAGACGATATGTTTAATAATCACGTCGAGATGTGTAAACCCGAACCTGACCTATTTGACACATTTAATAAATATGTCATTTTTGAGTTATCACACATGTTATTTTGACTTGTTTAGCACACATGTTATTTTGACTTGTTTAACACACATAATACATACATGTTTATCACACATACCATGAACTTGTATAACACACATAACCAGTTTTCATACCAGTTCATTGTCGTTAGATACATCATTCAATCATTTATCTAAAATTTTAAATAATTTTTTTACAAATAACATATCACATGTAATCAATGAAATTAATTAAATTACATTCAAGTTTCAATCCAAAAATTAAAATAAAAACTATTTTAGTATATTATCATAATAATGTTATGAACTATATTGTTAATTACTATAATAGAAGTAAGAACTAATAAGTAATAATGTTAAGACCACATCGATTATACATAATAGACAAATTATATTGTCATAGACAGGTCTACATTGGCTTGGGTCGGGTTCATGTCCGAATTATGTCAACCAGTTTAAGATATACGGGTTAATCAGGTCAAAATCAAGTTGACCTGATTTTGAGATGAATCTGACATAATTTTTTTCGTGTTTAAGTGTGTTGACCCGTTTTAACTCATTAACTCGTTTAAGTTTATGTCCGAACCATTAATTTCATATTTAGTTTATGTGGTGTCAAAAATTGACAATTCTATCTATGGACGCACATACACATTTTTACGGAGAGAGAGAGAGATTTTTAAACACTACTAAGAGTTTCACATGTCAGAAAACAATTTAACAAATCTCACCCTATTCCTTTAAATCCACACCAGAGTTTATCTCAGTAGCTTGATGCCTATACTTAGCCTTGTACTCACTCCATAGCTTCCCAACTGGCTTCCCCATAAGCTCAACAAAGTAGTGATCACTATAAGCATTTCTCATCTTCTTATTAAGTGCAGCCACAAACCCTGTTTTCAAACCATCACAAAACTCCAAAAACCTAGCTGTAACATCATATCCTTGATCCCATTTATCACCCTGCCCTGGACTTGCAAAACCAGCATAAATATACTTAGCCTTCATCATCATATACTCTGCAATCCCCTCCGTCAATCCTCCCGGGGCCGTAAAATTTCCCGACCACTGAAAAATATGGGTCATTTCATGGTACATTATTCCTGTGAAATACCACTTACATTACCTTCGTATGTTTGGAGAAAAACAGTACTGACATTAATGTATTCGCCATTAGTGTATGCTTCAACATCCTCATAATCTGAAATAAGCACTTTCACATGCTTTATTTCTTCTTTCTGCTGAATTGGGTTGCTGGAAAACTTCCCAGATGAACTTGTTGATTGGTCCCATTATGCTCTCTGTATATGCCGTTCCGATTTTGCGGTTGAATCGGAGTCCACCGGTGGAACGGCGCCGGTGCACAGGAGGACTGCTAGGGTTAGGAGAGAGAATAGAAGAAGATTGCGAAGGTGAAGTATGGCTAATATTGTGAAGAATTGAACTGGGTTGTGAAGCCATCATTCAATGGGTTTGACTAATTTATGAATGTTTGTTCACTGGAAAATGGTATTTAGAGGTTTTGGTAGAAAAGAGTTTTGGATTCTGTCGATCTATAGGTGGAAACTGATGATGTACAAATCGGTCGTGTAAGATTAACAATCAAAAATATAAATAGAGGCAAGCAATGAATAATAAACAGACAATTACTAGTAAAACGGTAAATAAAGAGCTAACACAGGGATTTATAGTGGTTCGGTCTGGATAACCTATTTCACTATCGAGAATGGCGGCGATGATCTGAGTCTTTTATTAATGGATGAAATCGCCAGAGAAAATATTCTCCAAAAGTATTATAGAGAGGAGTGTGTATAAGGGGAGGTGTAAAGGTTTTAGAGGCGTGCCCTCAATACTGAGTGGACGTACATTATATAGTGAGAGTAAGGTGGTCACGTGAGTGAGACGTCTTCTACAATTTTGGTAAGTATAATCTTAGTAGGACTAGATCTCCGTAGCCCGATATTCTCTCACTCGTGTCCCTATTCCGTCAGAGGATGATCCTAATCTTGAGCTTGGTCCTAAACTTGGTCTTGACCTTGAACTTGAATTGGAGTAGGGTTGGGCTTGCCTCGGATACAAGAGGACGTAGGAGGACAAAGGGGGCAGCCTTGGGCGGCGCCTGGTTTGGGTGAACCCCTGGACGGCACCCCAAGTGCTTGGGCGTTGGCTCTTGGTGCTTTGGGTGTTGGCCTCTTGAATGTCCGTCTCTTAGACGTCCGTCTCTTGATGTGTTGACCCAAGTTCAATTGAGTTCTTTTTTGAACTTTCTTGGTTTATTTAAATTAGTCTTGACCTAGTCAACGGGCTCATAAAAAATTGTCTTAATTCTGTGCACTAACTTACCTTTTTTTTTTTTTTTGGTTTAAATTTTGAGTCCAAGTTCAATAAGAATAGTCGTTGCTTCCCATCTTTTTCTCTGTCCGCATAATTAAGGTGGTATTTAAGAAATATGTAATGATATTAAATTCTCTTTTGTTTTCTTGTTCAACAGGAGTGTTTGAATTAATTTACGCTTATTTCAACTATTCTCCTCCCAAATTTAGTAAAAGATAAAGCATCCATGCCAGGATTAGGAATTGTCAATATTTGAATTCAAGACGTCTGATTTTTGAAATTAATGATGTTAAATTTTTTAGTGCATTGGTTTTGAGATCTCATCCAATTTAACTTATAATTAAGTTTACAAAATCAAGTCAACTTTTTTTTAACCTGTGGTTGGATTTGCAAAATCATTGTAAAAAGGGAATGATAGGATAATAGACCGATAATAAAAGCGAACAAAATATGGACCAAAGAATGTGGTGCTACTTTTGCTTCTATAAAGTTCATACTTTACTTAACCTGTCAATGCCGCATACACTCATCTCCGGTAATGGGTAAACATCGGTTATATTAGGCTAGCAATGTTGATGTAGTATAATTATTTAAAAAAAAAATTACAAAATAAATAAAATGAGGTTCATTTTCTATCATGGAGATAAAAAAAATATTTTTTGTGATGATTTTTTCGTCGCTAAATTTAAAAAAAATCATCGTCATTTCTCTTTCGCGACGTTTTTTTCGTCGCATGTTTGTCGTAATAACCTCGTCATAAAAAGTATTTTGCAATGCAATTTTACTTTCATCGCAAAAAAAAAAATTGCAACGAAAAAAAGCATCGCGAGAATTAAAAGAAACGTAACTAAATCTGACCCACCAATGTAAAAATATAAAAAATAATAATTTAATTAATTTTTCGTGTCACAAATAAATTTTAACATAAATAAAAATATAAAAAATAATAATTTAATTAATTTTTTGCGACGTAAAAAAATCGTCGTAAATAAATTTTTACATATATAAAAAATAATAATTTAATTAATTTTTCAATGCGCAAAAATAATCGTTGCAAATAATTTTTTACATAAATAAAAATAATGTAAACACATTCATGACGAAAGAATAAACGTTGAAAAAAAATTGGTACGGTTCAATCCAAAAAAATTGAATAAATACATTTACGATGTATAAAAGTTGTCGTTAAAATGTTTAATCCAAAAATTGGAACATAATTTTGCGACAATTAAAAAATGTCGCAAAAAATATTGTTTCTACAATTTTTCGCGACTATATTAATTTCATCACAAAAAAGTTCATTTTTTAAAAAAATAACTCTTCATAAAAAATGGTATTCCAATAAAATTTTTCACCTGTACACCACTAATACCTGTGTTCAATAAAAAATTATCACAATTAATACATTTTACATTTTTTCCATTGAACAATCAACACAAACTAATATCAAATACCATACTAACAAAACTAAAAAATAAAATACACTTAATAAAAGTTATACAAATCATCAAAATATCCAACAACGTAATCTACATACAAGTTTTCTAAAATATTTTAATATATAACCAAAAGATAATTCGTCAGTCACTTTGATGCAGAAGTCCAGGATTCATCTGTTACAAAAAAAAAAAAAATAAATACATTAATAAATTATCAATCAAATTTTTAAAAACATATAGGTTTTCTAATTCTTAACACAAGAGGGTTTTTAGCCTATTTTTAATAATACGTTTTTAGGCTAATCATGAGGAGTAACAAGTGATTAACTCTTTTATAAATAAAGCAATTATATTTCATGACTCTGGCTAATACAAATGTCAAACATAAGACAAAACCAACATACATCAGAACTCCCACAACATCTGAAACAGAATAAATGACAAAAAACAACACAAACACATTACCAGATCAACAAATAGAACTATCTCATGCAACCATATGTGAGAATGTAATACATTTATTTATACTGACGACTACTATGCAACTTCTGTCAACTAACAAGTGTGAGCTACAATTTTCAGATAGTACATACGATTGGGGAAAAAAACTAACTGAGCTATGTGTTCGTATGTCTCACCCATCAATGTGGAGAAGTAATCTTGCAGTTGTTCTATGAATATGCGGCATAAGATCTGGTACTGCATCCACCTGATAAAAAGCACATCCGTTTTTTCAAACCTAGGAACTTGTAAAGATGATAACTAGGGGATTAAAACACATCCTTTAATGAGATGAACATACTGCTGACTAATGTCATTGACTAATTATTGTAGAAACTGAATTGAACCATACCTAGAGATTTTGCAATTTCTCCAACTAGATTAAAGGAATTAAAAATGCACACAATATATTTAGACAAATGGAAAAATAATATCAAGGATCAATTCAAAAGTACATCGTGTTGACTGAAAGTCTCAATCCTACCCTTGTATGAATATCAACTTTTAAGATATCAAATTCATGTCCCTTTTAACAATAAAATAGGACAATTATATGTGCTAAATAACCAAATCTACTCAGCCATTATCTTTTTAGTTGAATGATCAGATTTTTTATCACAACCACAATTGAAATGACAGCTTTGCTAGTATCAAATGTTAGGAGCATCTCAAGACACAATGGACAATGAGGGATTCCTTCAAATTTGGTCATAGAGCCATACCAAATGCGCATAGAAATCTTCAACTACAGCGGCATTATTTTGCAGAAGCATCGATTGAAGATGAGCTCTAGATCTGTGCAATAATTGGGCAACAAGGGACATAGTGTGGGCACCTACACATCTTTCCTGCAGCATAATGTCAATATTTGCAGTACACACCCGTTAAGATGAGACCGTTTTAGCCAGAAAAATCTACAACTATATAAAACAACAACTAGTTTCATGTAAACAAAGAGCTATGAACATTTGACGTTGTGTAATTAAGTAGAAGGCATATTTTGTACCTGCAAAAATAAACGTATTTCAGAGTGCATACATATGCATATATTCCCCCATCTAATGAGTTTCTTTAAATTCCAAAGTAAATGATTCTACAATGTCAGATCATGTAAGTCAGTGAGTTCGTCTATCCCACGCTAGAGTGACTGTCTGTGTTGAAGGTAACTCTGCAAGATACCTTCCAAAAGAATCTTAAATTATAATAAACTCCCCAAAAGATAGCAAGGGCTTGCAGTTCATTTATTTCACAATCAATTCTTTCCCTACTACTATCTATTTTCTGTTAAGTAGCACATGAATTCTATATTAATACTCATACTGAATAGATAACATAAATTTGCAAGTGTACATCAAATTACAAATCATATCACTTTTCTGTCTCCACAGTACATTTATAAAAGCCAAATTTGAAGTTGCTGCATAACTTGGGCAAAAGTTCAGCATGAGACCTGCATCTGAATTAACTTGTCTAATTAACATCAACAATAAAAAGTTTCCTATATGGGAGGGAAACTAAATACTAGCAAAATGTAAATAAGTAGAACAGTACTCCAACAAGAAAAGTACCTTGAGACCAGAAGATGGGGCTGGGTGAGTGGCCAAATTTGTATTGGGTGGGCTAGTAGGTGTGATGTCTGTAAGGCTGAATGACGTATTCAAAGATGTGGGTGACGATGAATTAAACGATACAGATGGAGGTTTTATCCACTGCTCACAATCTTGAATTATTCTGGAAAGAGCAGTCTGAGTACCATAAAGAAAGGGTATTTCTAACTCAAACATTCGGTCAGATAGAAAGAGCTGACTCTAAGAACAATGTCCTTAAGAAAGTAACAGAACAAAACAGAGATAATGTAGAATCACAAAAGAAAAAGAAGCAAGAAATAAAAAAGTAAACAGCTGTTATCTTTTTACTTTCTTCACCTTTTTTTTTTGTTTGAGGCTGATGGAGAGAGAGAGAGAGAGATAATACTTACAAGTAAGGGAGTCAGTCGAGCTTTTTCCATTAGGATAATTACCGAAAGTTTCAAATACAAAATGGAAAAAAATCCCAAACAACTGGCAAATTCCCTGTCAGAATTGACCGAATCAGACAAAAGTATAGATTGTAAGCTAACTAAAATAGACTTCATGAACAGAACCAAAAAAGAAGGGAAAACTATCCAACATACTCATACCGTAAAAAACTCAACATCGACTTTCTCAAGTTTCTGTATTAGCCTTGCGTGTTTATCCATTAACCTTTTCAGCAAAATGCATTCAGCTCAATGCAGCTAAGGACATGGCCAATAATAATTAAGAGTCTGAAAAACGAGTTCACCTTAAAAGGCTAAGAGATGATCCTGTTTGTGATCCAGTTTCTTGAATGCTTAGGTTTGGAAATGCGGCTTGGGAGTTGAGTATCTTCATCAATAAAATCCGCATGAAGATCTTCATTTTCATCTTCTGAAGCAGAAGCATTGCCATTAACATACAATGTGTTTGGAGAAGATTTGTTATTGTGAGAATTCTCATTGACTTAATTAAGGGCCAAGCTGACTTAATTGAAAAATCCCCAGAATTTGTATATACTATTCAATTCACAAATTCCACAATCTGGCAATACATTAGACCCAAAACTCCCAAAAAAAAATCACTAGAATCACAAGCAACAAAAAACATAATACAATTGCATACAAAGAAATATCCAGTTGATAAAACAGAATTATAAGCAAAACCCAGAAGCAAAATTACAAAACCAACATCTTCTAGCGCGAGCTCTCAGGTTATTTATCAAAAGGGTACGATTAAATTCACTAAAAGATCAAATCACAAAACAAAACATTCCCCAATACAAGAACCCCAAACCCTAAAAAACTCAGAACTCACAAACCTTTATCAAAAGCCCAAAACTAGAAATACCCAGTTGATAAAATGAAAAAATAAGCAAAACCCAGTAGGAGAATAATACCCAGCTTTGTGAATTCACCGGAGGCGAGAGCATCATCGTAGTATTTTTCATTGTAGCGAACAGGAAAAATTCGGATGAGAGAGAGAGAGAGAGAGTAGTGTACCTGCTATCAATGGTTGTCGATGGCTCGATGCTTCAATGGAATGAAGCTTTGCAGCAGCCTTCGACTTCGTCCTTCGCTTGCTCGCAGCGGCACAGAGATAGAACAGAGAGTAAGAGAAACTTAAAGAGATAGAGAGATAGACTGGGCAGGTGGGTGTTGCTGGTGGTTTGTGGGTCTTACTGGCTGACGAAGAGGAGGCTGCTACGACAGTGAGTGAGTGAAGAAGAAGGGGTTGCTAGCTGGGGCTAAAACGACAAAGTGGGTTTTGTTTTTAAATAATCAAAACGACGTCATTTTGTGTATAAAAGAATTTTTAAGGCCCAAAAACGATGTCGTTTTGGTTGTTTTGTTTTTTATAAAATATATTTTGTGACAAAAAATAAAACGTCATAATTAATATTTTAATTCTGATTTAAAGTAACAAAATTTAAATTCTGAGACAAATATAAAAATGTCGCGAACTAATAATTTTAATTAATACAAAAATATAATTTATATTTTGTGACGAATATATAAAACGTTGTAAAAAATATTTACAAAAAATATTTTTATTTTATTTTTTACTTTAATTTTGATTTAAAACTAAATTTATATTCTGCGACGAAAAATTAAATGTCGCGAATTAAATATTTAGACTTTATTTTATTTTAAATTTTAAATTATTTATTTTTGTTACGAGATAAAACTATTTGCAACGAAAATGTTTTGTCATAAAAAATTGTCAATTCTCGTCATTTCTCCCACCAAAAATAATTAGGAGTGAACCGCCTTTTTGCAACGAACTTAAAAAAAGGTCGCAAAAAAAATTGCCAAAATAAAAATTTGCAACAAAATTGTAAAATTGTAATGAATAGTAAACTTTTTGCGACAAATGTAAAATCTTCGCAAAAAAAAAATCGTAAAAAATATTTTTTGTTGTAGCGATTATAAATTTTTATGAAACTCACGTGTAGACTTATTGTTTTTCAGGAAAGTAAAGTATCATGACAAAAATACACAAGAATCAAAGGACGGAACTTTACAAAGATTGGATTCCCCTCAAAAGTCTAAAACGAAAACAATACATCCATCTTTATTTTGGAATTATGTGGGAAGATAGGCTTGAGCCAGTACTTCCCCTAGAATCCCTTACCAAGATGGATGGAGGCTAAGCCTTGTAAGCTTCAATTCATTGTTGCAAGCAAGCTCAATAACCAGAACTTAATGGAGACATGTATCAGGCAGGTTTCATTGAAGCAAGGTCAAGGCATTTTGATGGCTGCACTTGAATTTCAAGGTAAGGAGCCTCTCCCTAATAGTCTCCATAACCATCTTGAAGAGAATATGAAAGTCAGTAGCCAGGTTTCTGAAGATTCTAGCGTTTCTTTCCTTCCATAGATGGTAAACAATAGTAGAAAGACTGATCTTCAGGATAATAGTGGTCATCTTCTTGTTTTTCCATTGTTGAGAAACTCATTCAATTAATTCAGGCCATTGCCTTTAATGTCCTTGTTGATTGCTCTGAAGAAGAATGGAGTTATAAATTCTAGAGGAGTAATCACATTCAAAGAAGAGGTGGCTGTGACTTTCATTTGCCTTTCTATACAAGACGCATTGAGTGTCAACTTCATTTGAGAAAACTTGGATTCTATCTTTAGTGCGCAATCTCATTTTAATGGCTAACCATAGGATGAAAGCCATTCGAAATATTGACTGGCCAAACCATACCAACTTATGCCAAGAGAGAATACTAGTTGCATTCCTCAAGTGTTCCCAAGCAAATTTGGCTGAGTATTTCCCATCAGTGGTTAGGGTCCATCTCACATAATCATTTTTGGTCAGATCAGGAAGGTAAGTTGGCATGTTGTTGAAAATATTCTGCACACTCAGTTGAGTAGATGTGCTCTGTTCCGTTGGTTGTCTCTTGCTTTCCTTGGAATTCTTGCTTGTTGCATTATATTAGAGCTGCTTCTTGGTAACAGGGGTCCATATGGATGCCAACTGTCATGTCAAAAGCTTGTGTGCTGCTCATTCCTTACAATGTGCAGCATTATAGGTCTTAGGACATACCAGAGTTTTAGAAGGTTCCTCCAAATGTCTGAGCAGGTTTGGGGGGTCTTAGGACACTTGCATACTTGTTTACTTACTGGTGGATAGTTTTTATACCACATAACACTACTGATGAGGTGTACTAGTTGCACCCAATATTTTTTCGTTGATATGGCCCCAATATTTGGCCGATACTATGACTTGGAATGGAACCATGTTCCATAAATTTGAAATCTATAATATAAAACAGAAAATTTTTTAATAAGTTCATCCAATAGTTTTAAATAAACTTATCTAACGACCATCAACATTCCTCTCAAAAACATTCACATTAAATCCCCCAAAAAAAATATATCACTTCTTACTTACATTGCACCGTAACGGGCTATCCAATGAAACAAATTCTCTAGAGCTTAAGCTTATCTTGTGTGTGTGTGTGAGAGAGAGAGATATATATTAATGGTGTTTTAAGCAATACTATAATAGTTTCTTATGTCAGAAATAATTTTACAAACCTCATTCTATTAATTTAATCAACAGTAGAGAGTATAATAGGCTGATGCCGATACTTAGCCTTGTACTCGCTCCATAGCTGCCCAACTGGTTTCCCCAGTAACTCAACAAAATAGTTATCACTATATGCATATCTCATCTTCTTGTTAAGTGCAGGCGCAAATCCTCTTTTCAAACTATCACAATACTCCAAAAACCTAGCTGTTACATCGTACCCTTGATCCCATCTATCACCTTGCCCTGGTTGTGCAACACCAGGACGACTATATCCCGCTTTCATCATCACATATTCTGCAAAACCCTCCGTCAATCCTCCTGGAGCCGTAAAATTTCCGGACCACTGAAAAATATGAGTCATCTCATGGTACATCAGTCCGGTGAAAAACGACTTTAAATTACCCTGAAATGTTTGTATAAAAGGTGAACTGACATTAATGACTTCACCATTAGTGTATGCTACAACACCAGTGAATTCTGAGATGAGTACTTTCACATGCTGTATGTTTCTCCGGTCTGCCGGAGTGGGTTCCTGGAAGATATCCCAGATGAACTTGTTGATAGGTCCCATTATTTGCTTAGTGTATGCGACACCGATCTCGTGGTCGAATCGGACTCCACCGGGGGTTCCTGCTACAGTATTGGTAACTTCGTAGTTCACTGCGTAACTGACTTGGATTGGCGCTAGGGCTAGGAGAGAAAAGAGGAAGAGATGAAGGTTAGCCATGGGTGATGATGCTGTGAAGAATGTGGGGTTATGTGAAGTGAAGCCATCATATAGACATATATAAAGCTGGATCCAAATGGTCTTTCTGAAAAAATTTAATGAATGAATTCAATGGATTTTGCATAATTTATGAAATTGTATTTCAATGGATTCTATCGATCTACATAGGGAAATTTTCTTAATTGGTAGCACCATCTGTTATCACCTTTTGTCCATGTTAAAGTTTGATACTAAGGACAATGTGGATAATAGCGTATGGACTAAAAAAATCAACTTTATTATTGAGACTTAATTTATTATAATTTTTAAATTAACTATGGTCCATTAATTATTAAAATTTGGTGTTAATTTAATGGGATTATAATGAAATCACATCATTAGCTCAACAAATTAAGTCAATTTTTTAAGTTTTAATAGCATTACTTTAAAAAAAATAGGATAAAAAATAGATATCAAATAATGTG